TTCTTCCGAAACTCATGGCAATGTGGAGGGCTGTGTTCCCCGAGGGAGTTGCTTGAACCCAGTTGAAATTGGAGTCGGTGCTGTCGAAGAATGTGATATTCCCCTCTTTTGCTGCGTTTGCCAATTCAGAATTCATGGATTCTCTATTTGTGTATGTTGGTCAAGGTCCTCAAGGAGTATGGCTCGCTAAAAGTGTAGTGGAAGATTCTCTGGCTTTGGTAAACTTAAGACCTCAGCTCCTCCGCTCCGCCACGGTCGGATGGACGAATCTGTATCGATCTGCCCTCGGGACTCGGTAACAAAGAACTGCTGGACGCTATGCACTCCAGATGTCAAACCATTCATCGCCTTAATAACATCTGCACCTTTCTACTGCACTGCCTAGACTCTCTACAGATAACATAATTAAAAGTTGAGGTGTAAATTTAAATTTTATTGATTGGTGAAAAAAATGAACTGATTTAGTAATCTTGGAAATTAAAATCAGTTCATTTTGAAAATTTACACCTATCTTATTTGATTGTAAAAGAGATGGTGCAGAGGAGAAGATGATCTACGGAGGAAAAGGGAAGTAGGGGAAAATGAAGAAGTGCCTTCGGAGGTTGGTTGATTATCGATATAAATAAGTCAAAATAAATCATGTTTACTAAACGCATGTAAAATCAAACTGGGGTGTAAAATTTACCCCGGTTCAATTCTTCACCCCAAACAAACGTAGCCAAAAGGATTTTTTACATTTTTCTTAATTCAACAGTGACCTTTCTCTCATGTTCTATACCTCTATTTATTAGGTGTTTTTCTTGGTCTGTTTTTAAGCCTTTGATGTTTTTAAGGAGAAATTTTTTACTCGTCAGGCTCTTCTTTAATACTTTTTATTTTCAGACTTCAGACATTGGACTTAACATTATTCTTACTTTTTTTTTTTGTCTCCAAAATGCCATTCATACATTTTATTTATTATTTATTATTAATAACACATTCTTAGTATATAATAATAATATTATTATAAGGGTAAAATACTTAAATTACCCCTAAGTTTTATAAAATTAACTCTACCCTTTCAGTTTGCAAAATAAAAGTACCTCTGAATTTTCTGACAATTGAACACCACCCTTAACAATTGATGGAAAGAATGAAATATCCATTTAATTAACTACTACAACTAGAAAATGGAGACGTCAAGGGGCTTCTCCTTAGATATAAAGTGAATTGCAGTGGATGTACTCGGTTCCAGAGAATATTTCCCATGGATGGCCTGCCAATGGCTCAAAGCCATGTTTAGCAAAACATGTCCCTGCGGCTTCCACAATTCACAAAGACAACCTCGGAATCAGAGGATTGGCATTGTTTGTTATATTAACCAGAGTAGGAATTTGTTCATTACCAGCCTTGGCTCTGGAACTACTAACGGGATGGATTTTGAATCCCATATATTCTTCTAGACTTCTCTGAACCTTGCAATTAAACCTCTTTTGGATGCTTAAAAATTTAGAATTAAACTTGAATCCAAATGATGAAAGAAAAAACGAAAGATTACTTGTATTAATTGCTGAAGGAAAGATTAATTAACTACTACAGGAGTGAACACCATTGAAATTTCCGAAGAATATTTTGGGCATTCATGCGTGATTGATAAATGATTAGGAGAACAATGGCATGTTCATCCGTGATTGATAACCTAACCTGTAATGGTTACACACAATGAGTCTATTCCATCCAAGGAAACTTTTGAGAATTCTTTCAGCATATTTTAACAAATGATTAATTATGCCATACATCATGATGTTAAATAATATATCTAATTCCATTTGGTATGATTTTTTACGTGGATTATCGGTTTTTTAAAAATTCGACAGTTCATATTTTAGTTTTTTTTTATTTGGTTGAGAAAAGATTTAATCATTAAAGTCACAGCCTTGAAAAGATTCAAAAGATCTATTTTGAACAATTTTTAAGAAGTTTCAAATAGAACTTTTTAATTTTTTTTATAATTTATTTTTCTAAGAATAAATATATCTTAACCAAACGATCTTCAAACTATTAAAATATTAATATAAAAATTTATATAATCTTTTAATTATCAAAACTTCTAAAAACTCTTTTAAAAAAGACTTATCAAACAGTCCCATAAATTCTATGCAGTGAAAACATGAAAATAATGACCGCCTTTGTTGAAGATCATGCACGGCTTTTCATGACAAAAGCATTCACTCTTCAATATTGCGTGGAGATGGTAAGGGATGTCGACCCAAGACGTTGATGGCACAACCTCCCGGATCGCGTTAACCGGAAGAAAAAACAACTAGGACTTGACTTCATGGACCAGCCCGTTAGTTCGTACCATGTTTTTATTCCTAATCAGTTGACTATTCTCAATCCTATTTAATTAGGGTAAGTGTTTGGCCATAGTTGTCTAAATTGCAAAGTAAAGAGTGGATGAGCTGGTTCCACGCATTTGCATGATTGCATCTTCCTCTTGGTTGTCATCTGACACAAATTTTAGTCATTTAGTAATTTATTATTGAAATCCAATAAATTCTTTTATTTGTTGTTTTTTTTTATTCCTACAAACTCCGTTCTTTAAATTTGAAATTTCTCTTCAGCTTTGCAATTTTGAGAATGATAAACATAAACTCCAACAGTCGCAATAAAACCCTCCCATCGAGTCATGATAAACACAAATTCTTCCACCGAATTATCCTAAATCATGAGGGGATAACGTGAAGCTTGGATCAAAGAAGCTCAAAATTAGAACAGTGGTTTGGTGAGCATATCTACAATCTAGTCACTAGAGGGAATATGTCGAATGTATAGTATCTTATGTGCAGGTAAATCTTGGAGAAAATGATAGTCAATCTCTATATATTTTCTGCAAGCATGAAAGATTAAATTGGCAACCAAGCATGTAGCACCAATGTTCTCACACCATGCCACTGGTGCTGATACAAAATATCCAAAATCAATAAGAAGAGACTAAATCCAAAGAATTTCAATAACTGAGTTGGCTAAAGCTTGAAACTCGAACTCTGTGCTAGAGGGGACAATGGTAGCTTACTTTTTGAAACTCCATGCAATGATGTTGGAGCCATGATATACAGAATATCCTCTAGTGAACATTTTGTCATCTAGGAAACTAGCCCTATCAGTGTTGGAGTAATCCGTTAAATTAATATCACAAGAGATAGTGAAATGAAGACCAAAGTCATTGGTAGACATGAGGAATCGAAGTATTTGTTTCATAGCCCATCAATGCTCCTCTGTTAGGCAATATAAAAATTGACACACTTTGTTAATTAGAAATGAAATATGCAGCCTTGTTAAGGTGACGTATTAGAAAGCATCAACAACAATTTGATATTCAATTGGATCAGTAAGAGGTGTGCAAGAGAAATTGGATCAATTTAATAGAGGTTGCCATAGGAGTGGAAATTAGTTTAGTGCCATCAATGAGAGTTACCCGTAAGAATGAATCCATCAACATAAATGAGCTTAAAAAGTTTATTGCCACCATCATCATAGATAAAAAGAGACGGATCAATTGCTTAATTTCGAAAACCCATGTGAAGGAGATTGCTACAATGTCAGGAATACGAGGCCCAAGACGCTTGCCTAAGTGTGTAAAGTGCCTTGTGAAACTTGTAAACATAATCAGGTTGAGAAGGATCTTCAAAACCCTGAAATTGTTGTACATAAATATCCTCATCAAGTAAACCATGCAAAAAAAGGCATTATTTATGTCTTTTGCCAGATTGGTCATTTGTGAGAAACGACAAGAGCAATGATAGTACTCACAGTTACAAATGTATTTTTACATATATAGAAGTTTGAATATGTAAATATTCAAATATATTCAATCATATTTTTAAAAATATTAATATATAGATGTATGTTTACATATTTACATATAACATGTGCATACATATATACATATATATTAGTGGGGATCCCACGAAGCGGGGATCATGGTCCCCGTGGGGCGGAGAGTTCTCTCCCCGTCCCCCCGTTACCGCTAATGGGGATGAAAATTTTCCCATCCCCGTCCCCGTGGGGGAAAAATCATTCCCATCCTTGCCCCGTTCAGGACGGATCCCCACAGGGATCGGGGAAATGGGGAAAATTGCCATCCCTATCTGAATTTGATGTGGACAAGGTGAGTTCCAATCTCCCCTTCATTAATAAAAGAAGAATGCCCAAAAAAAAATTAACAAATAATAATATATTTATAAATCAATACTTCAGCAGCATGTAGGAAGGGTTTGTCACCTTCAAAGTTGCAGAGCATACAAGGCCGAAGCAAGATCTGGAGTTGTTCTCACTGCCTCCAATCTTCACCCCAATGAGAAAACGTATAAAAATTAAAAAAGCAAAAAGAATAATTGGGACTTGGTTTAACAAATCTAAGGGAAGAAAAACATTTCTCATCAGAAAGCTCTTACCATGAAGTGGGTTTGAACCCAAAAAAAGGCATAAACACCTTGGTGCGTTTTAATGGGAAACAATGGCTTTTAGCCGACGAACGACCATGTCCGTTCAAGGTTCTACAAGCACAAGTGTATATCTATAAAACATTTACCTCTATACCGCTGGAAACAATGGATTTTAGCTGATGAACGACCATGTTTTCCCGATGGCATGAGGAGATCAATGATGCCAAAAATGTGAAGAATATAGTCGCCTTTATTCTATGGTCATGGATCTGGTCTTATTTTGGCCGGATATCGTTGGGAATGCTGCCAGAGACTTTATTGCTGTAGACGCAAGGAGATAGTGAGAGGACGGTTGTGGAACTTTAGTCGAAAGTCTCGACATTTTTTTCTCATGATTTTTGCTTCTCACTGGGGTCGCACCATTTCAATGTGACCCTGCATCCTTGGTTTTGAGAACCAACGTCACACGGTTTTCTATTCCATCCCAGCGAACAAACACATGAAAATGAAAATCTAATAGGAATATTCTCATTTTCCCATCCCAATGGCAGCAACCAAACATACCATTAAAGAAGCTGAACAGGTGAAGAGAACCACATACATCTTTCTTTTAAAATCCCAACAAAGTTGGTATTAAGAAAATAAAGAAAATTAATTGACAATGATACGAGAATAAAATCACACTTGAAGTACAAGATATAACCCAAAAAATTAATTCTTGAGTAGGACTTAGACTGCCTTAACTCAATTGAAAATGTCATAAGATTCCTTCTTCAATTTCACTTAAAAAATCCCGCACAGCTTACAACTCCCGACTAGTACATTCCAAACAATTCTTTGATCATTTGAGCCAAGTCTAATTCACTTTTATAACACAAAACTAATTACACATTTACAGTTGTAGGTCGTGGCGCAGACTGAAACAAGCATCAGGTCTTTTGGGCTTTAGTCAAAGTTGGCTTTGGGCCTGAAATTTTAGTTTTGACCCTTGGGCCAGGCCCAGGTTTGAGCTCAAGATTTGACCTTCAGGAATGGGCCTGGGTTCGCCCCAAGCCAGGCCCTGCCCTGCTCGTCCTTGTTGCTGCATTACTATCCAGTCCACCTTGCCCAAGAATTTAAGCATATTGCAAGCCACATGCAGGATATTAATGGATATATATTGCCATATTGGTTAAAACAAATTAAAATAGTAATTCTCATTAATTCTACACGTACCATGCATAATCAAAATTTAGTGTTGATTTCTTCACAAACCTAGCATTGGGGTTGGATTGGATGGGGTCATTAAAGGTTAGGCCTTAACCTTAAATATTTAGTTTAGGGTTGACCCATGACCTATGGATTACTTGAGTCGTTAATGGTTCAATTAGGGGTGTCAATGGACTGGTTTTGGATTGGATTCCATCCAAATTAAAATTCATTTAGACGAATTGGACGGACCAATAAGACATTGAATTTGGATGGACTGGACGGACCAATATGACATATTAGGTTGGACCTGATCCATCCATAATGAATTTATGAATTGAGCCAATATCTGGTCCATTAATAAACGATAAGAACATAAGTGTCTATGGACCAGGTTTGAATTGAAACCAATCTAAATTATCGGGAATTTAAACAGATTGGACAGTCTCTAAACCAGTCCAAAATGGTCCAAAATATTAATTAGACTGAATTGGACCAGGTCCATTTGTAATGGACTCACATTGAATTGGACCGGATTGGACCAAATCCAGTCGAATTGACACCCCTAGGTTCAACTGCCTGGGTTGGTTTTTTAACTAAAAGTATGAGTTTAAGAGTTTGCATCTTGTGAACCCATCGATTCACGGTAAGTGTGCACCCTCGAATAGGAGGCGTACACATCGGCCCCTTAGATCTAACATGCAAAATTTCAAATAACGGAAAATTCTCGTTAAGTTTGAATTGTCCAGTTGAACCGGACGGTAAAAGATAAAATCTCAGAGGCCATCTTTTGGAACTATTGGGGAGCTCATTCCGAAGTTTCGAGCTCCCCTCCATTTCTCTCTTTTGAGCCCTATCCCTTGGAGCAGACCACCGGTAATTTCTCTGCGCAACCAACATCCGATGGTGATAAGAATTTTCCTCTTTTCCTTCTTCTTGTTTTTCTTCTTCTTCATATTTTGCTTGCAACGTACCAATCTTCTCATTATTTGTTGTCCGATTTTTTCCATTTTCTTCTTCCCACTGACACTGGAGTTATCGGTGGAACCCTGGTGGAAGGTAACATATGAGAGGTCCAAAAAAAAAGATGGTACTCTCTCTATTTTGCAATCTAACTTCTTCGTATTTTGCTTGTGCTTTGCCATTTTCATGACAGAATGTATTCATCTACAGTGGTTATCTATAAAACCAATTCTAATGCCTTCATACTTCAATGTAGTATTCTTGTTCAGGGCCTTAGGTGGTAGTCATTCCACCAAAACACGGTGTTCCTCTGATTTCAGATGGCCTAGCTAGATTCAGTTATTTCATTCCTTCTCGACAGAATCTAGTATCTAAGAGCTGTGGTAGATTGATCAAATGATACATTGAAGATCTGCGTCCTGGGCCGTCACTAATTACGCTGGACAAAATTTAATTGATCACAATAACCTCTTTAGCAGTTGTGCTGTGCATCATCTGAGGGTTAATATTTGGTTATGGTTCCTTTGAACTTGATGGTGGAGCTCAACCTGAAACCTTCATCAGCTTGATTATGGTTCCTTTGGTTTAATCATCCAGTTCAAATGTTTTAAACGATTCAACTGTCTAGATCGACATCGGCATGAAAATATTGGTATAAAAATAGGTGACCCAGCAGTGACCTGTTATCCGACCCAACCCGAATTCTTTTCGGGTCTGGTCAGGTAGCTTCTGGTTTAGGTCATTGCGTAGGCAACCTTAACCCACTTTTTTTTTTTTTTGCCAGAAATTAAACCACCTGAAGCCTGCCTAAGGCAGTAAGGTATTCATAAGCATGCATTACAAATCATCCATAAAATTGTAAACAAAGTCTCAATAAGAAGTAACATTAAGCCACATACCAAATTAAAGTTACAGCTGAAACCTTAAATGAAACAAGTCACACCGGAAAAAAAAAATCAAATACAAAATGACAAAAGAAAATAGTATTCTTATTCAAACACAGTTACACAGACGCCAGATGACACACAAATCTGATATCACTTTGGCCCCTTTATTAATTACATGGTAGATAACAAAACCGCTTCATCAATATTGACCAAATCCAGTCCAAAGAATCAATGAAAACAAATAGTTGTGGAAGAAAGTGTTCGTTTCTAGAATCTCCTCTGAACAGCATTACGGGCAATAGTGGCGGTAAGTGTTGCTACCACCAAAAAGATATGAGCCTTTTCCCTGTTATGTGTTATATTCGCTTCTCGTGAAGCATATGATTTGGCATATTTGCGCATGGTCACTTGCGGTTGTTTCTTCCATTCACTAACGTAGTCAAATATAAGTGATAATATAAACTGCAAAAAAAGAAGGACAAATGACTCACTATTTATATTCGGTTAAGTATATACTTAGGTCCCACTCGATTTTTTTTCAGAAGCCATTTACCTACATGTGATCTTTTGATCCAAAAGTATTTTTTGAAAAGATATGGGTATTACCCATTTACCAGAGAAAACAAATTTACCATAACACCTACATGCACAAAACCAAGAAACAACATGGGTTTGTTAGCTAACAAAAACTACAAATCTATTGACCAACCCCCCTCTCCCCCCTTATTTTCCCAGGTCCATCCTAGAGGTAGACACATATCAAGCTTTTTATACACTGTAAATACATACAAAATAATACAAATATAAGATTTTGCATTTGTGCTCCTTCCAAACTCAGCCTAATTTGGCATGGTCTAAACTGTTGGGTTTTCCTCTTATGTGGAAGATGGTCCAAGAAACCCATGTGGTATTTTTGAGCCCATGGATGAGAGTATTCTTGTTCAAATGAAAATAGGAAAATGAAATAACCTTTTAATGGTGTTAGTTGCCAAAAATATTGGGAGAAGAAGAGAAGAAAAATGAAAAGAATTCTGTACAAAAACGGAGAGAGAAAAGGAGCGGATTCTTTAAATTTCAGTCTGCGCAGTTTTCATCTTGTACTCTGATCTAAGGTCGTTTCTGGTCCGATTGAGCTGAAATTTTGCAAGCATGTTCGTGACTTAAGGTTATTCAATATGAACGGTGGAGATTTGGTTTGACTCACTGGTTTGTGAGATCTGAGTCCGCGAACAGTACCTCTGTTTTGGATGAGATTTCTCCATTATCTTGAGATATTTGTTAGTTTCCAAGAAACGTATTTTCTTGATGATTTTCTAATTGTATGCCTCTAGTTTTATCTAGAGACAACCCTTGTACAATCACTTTCTTGATAGTGAAAGTTATTGGGTGACCGTGGTTTTTTTCTTTCCCACACCGGGAAGGTTTTTCTACATAAATTTGGTTGTGTTCTTGTGTGCTTGTTCTTTGGTTTAAGCTCTACTAAATTGTTTCCTAACAGATTCACACAAAGAGGGAGAAAAATATTATTTCCGCTGGTTTTGGAAGTTGATTATAATTTGCTTGATTTCGTGATTCTCCCAACATAAACCAAGCTTTTAGTCACACTTGAGCCTGATAAAGCTTGGCTCATGATAAAGCATGGCTCATGAGACTCGCAAGCCTACTCGAACTATATATAAACTAGTTTTATAATTATTAATTTTTTATATATGATTTTTTTTTAATTGGGTAAAATACAAAAACCTCTTCTCAAATTTCCAACAATCATAAAACCTCTCCTATAGTTTCATTTTAACAAATACCTCCCCTAAACTTTTGAGAAACTCAACAAAAACTTCCCTTCCATCACTGTCCCAAACGTAAAACATTAGATTGATGGACCGGTTTTTTTCCAAATATCCATTCTACCCTTTTATAAATTATTTTACATACAAAATTACTGAAATAATCTCATTTTAACTCAACAGAAAAACATATTTCAGTAATTTTGTATGTAAAATTGCTGAATGATCGTTACAAGAAGTTTTGTTGAGCTAAAATGGGGTTATTTCAGTAATTTTGTATGTAAAATAATTTATAAAAGCGTAAAATGGGTATTTGAAAAAAAACTGATGCATCAATCTAACATTTTTCAGTGACGGAAGGGAGGTTTTTGTTGAGTTTCTCAAAAATTCAGAAGAGGTATTTCTTAAAATGAAACTATAAGGGATGTTTTTATGATTGTCAGAAAGTTCAGGGGAGGTTTTTGTATTTTACCCTTTTTATTTTTAGAGGAAGTTTGGCTCACAGTAGATATTCAGCTTGGCTCAATCCAGCCCTAGTTCATTTACTAGAAAACCAAAACTCAAACCTTCAACACATGCATTTGCTCATAAACTACTACCCATATAAGAAGTCCAAAAAGAAATTAGGCATAAAGAAAGATCATACATTTCGAATGGCCCCTTCCTTTTCCATGTCCAGCGCAATAATGTCTCGAGCTGTGAGGCTTTTATTGTTCTTGGCTGTTATGTCCACTTCACCTTCTTGTAAAATATCAATTATAATCCAAAAGAAGAAGTTGATGGCGGCCAAATGGAAAGGTGTGTTCCCGTCTTTATCCACTTGGTTTACAAGACTCCCACTATAGCGCTTACAGAGATACCTAACAACTTCCGGTTGATACTCTATCACAGCAACATGAAGAACATTTTGGCCATTTGCTATTGGCCAAATCAACACAATCTGGGCAAAATTCAAGGATCATTTGAATTATCTCTAGATTCCCATTAATGGTTGCTTTGTGGAGAGGCGAGTGACCTTCATCATCCACTTGATATGCAATGGAAGAGTCTATTTTTAATAATAGTTGCACCGTGTCTAAATCACCCAGTAAGGCTGCATGATGAAGAGGATTCTTCTTGGTTCCGTCTTGCTTGTGGATGAGTTCTGGCCTTCCTTTCATTATTGCTCTTATATTTCCTAAATTAAACATGGCGAAGTGAATGGAAGAACCAACATTGTGGCCTCAACTCAGTTTTTTTTTTTTGTTGTTGTTGGAACTTGTAAAAATCAGAAAGCAAAAGCAGATTTACCTGAATGCCCGGCAATCACAGCAGCGTGTAAGGCCGTTAGATCATTAGGTCCCTCACAACTTGGAGAAAAACTAGTTGATGATGATAAGGCATCACTGATGATTTGCTCCGACCCTCTGTGTGTGGCCAGCAGATACAGTAGAGACTCCCCTTTATCATTTGCAGACCACGCTCGAGGACCCACAGTTCTCAACAAATGCTCTACAAAGGAAATGCGGTCTTCTGACCTTCCGCTTCCAAGGTCTGGATGAGAAAATGTTTGCTGATGACCATCATCATCTTCAACCATTGTGGAATTCGTTGTATGAAAGCGTCCAGCCTTTATAGCTACATGTAGTGGGGTGTCACCGTTGGAGTTTCTCATGGTTACCAGCGACGGACAACGATTATAGAGTTCTCGGGCGAAACCTATGTGTCCATGTCTCATGGCAATGTGAAATGCTGTGTTCTTCAAGGGAGTTACTTGCTTCCAGTTGAAAGAGTCATCCCTGAATCGACGTTCTCCGAGGGAATTAGTGTTACCCTCTACTGCAGCTTTTAGCAGTATAGGATCCATGGCCTCTAGATCTGCTCCTTACATCGATCGACGCTCTCTCTCTCTCTCTCTCTCTCTCTGTATATACATACATATCTGCCTTTTTTCTTTCTTTTTGCAAAATAGTCTGCCTCATGACTGACATCATATTCTGCCTCGTGAGCTGACATCAGCTAATGTCCAATAACCGCATTACATTTATCTTCATGTGCCATCACATGCTACTTTAATGCGTCGTCTAAATCTTCTGTTTGGCAATGGCGTCGTGTCAGTGAATATATGAAACCTACCATTGCCAAGGGAGCGGTACTAACAAATGCTCACAACGTTGTTTCAATTAGCCATGAGGGTCGCACATGACATCATGAACATCTCCCTCCCCATGAATAATAAAGGGAAATTGTTTCTAATGTGCAGCAGCAATGGTATGAAGTGACAATGTTGGAAACGTTGGTGGAGCTAGGAATTTTTTAAGAGGGGGCCAAAATTTAAATGGATCGGAGGGAGAGGAATAATAAATATAGATGGTCATTGAAGGATATATATACCAAGAGTGGGGATTTTTTGGGCCATAGTGGCTCTCCCGGATGAAAGTGGGCGCTCTTGCTACTATAGTCTCCCTCCGAGTCCTAGAGGCCAATGTCAAGCCTCTCCCTCATATGTGTTAGACCTCCACGACCTTCTCAATGACTGATGGGCTCAAATGAACTAGGATGTGCTTGCGTTAGAGAACTCTAGGAACCAGTATGACCCATTCCGTATTCGTGAGGACTAAGACGAGGCTCAGGCTCCCATCGATCATAGGATTGTCAACCTACAGATGCAGATCGGAGCCATGTGAGATGAACTTCAGCAAGTTAAGGAAGGCCGAGGTAATGCCTCCACAAGTCACTTTAAGGCTTTCTTGGAGCCTCTTCCACCTCACTTTAAGGCTCCCACTTTGGAGATGTACAATGGAACCACTRACCAGGACGACCACCTGGAAGGCTTTTGAGCACTCATGCTCCTTTATAGATATTCCGACGCCTTGACGTGTTGAACTTTCAAGGTGACCTTCAAGGGAGTAGTCCGTCAATGGTTCTTTAGGCTCCCACCTCGATCCATAAGGTCATTGGAGCAGTTCGCCAATCTTTTCCTATCCCATTCTGTTAGTAGCTGATAGTGCTAGAAGAGCATCGTCTCCCTCATGTCCATTTGATAGAAGTGTAGAGAGAGCTTGTGGTCCTACATCAATGTGCTTCAAGAAGAGAGAACTCGAGGTTCGAGACCTCGACTCCTCGTTCTCAATGCATACAGTAATCAGTGGCCTTCTACCTGGACCCCTCAAGTGGTCCGTCACCAAGACACCACCCAAGACCAAGGCAGAATTTTTGAAAAAGGCGCAAAAGTACATCGCCACGGAGGAGGCTTCGACCGGCAAGTGCCAAGAAGGCAAGGCCAACCCCAATCGAGGGGGGCCTGAGAAGAAGCGGAATGACAGAGACGGTTGTGGCCATGGCCACAACAACAACAATAAGGACTCCAACAAGAAGTCGCCGGCCCCGTTCTTTAATAAGTATACACCACTCAATTCCACCAGAATGCAAATCCTTATGCAAATAGGGAAGGATCCTTCCCCGAGAGGGGTAACCCCAATATGAAGAGGAACCCCAAGAGGGGTAACCTAAATAAGTATTATAAGTACCACCGCGGCACCGACCATGATACCGAGGACTGCTACGAACTCAAAGACGAGATCGAGTCCCTCATTCACTGTGGTCACTTGAAAGAATACGTGGGGGGCAATGCCGGTGCCTCGTCTTCATAGTAGTAGCATCACAACTTGGTTGGGGTCATCGACATCATTGTGGGGGGCACGACCTCGGGTGGCGCTTTGACTTCAACCCGCAAGGCCTATGGTTGGAAACTCAACATCCAAGGCTTGATACCCAAGAAAAAGAAAGAAAGTGAAGTCATCTCCTTCTCGGATGATGACTTGAAGAGGGTCTTGGTACCCCACAATGACACATTGGTGGTGTCAATGACCATCTCTAATTTTATGGTGAAGAAGATCGTTATTGACAACGGATCATTAGTCGGTATCCTCTTCTACGATACTTTTGAAAAGATAAAGCTAACTCCAAAGCGACTATAGCCGGCCAATGTGCCACTTGTTGGCTTCTCCAGGAATGTCATCAAATCAGAGGGAAGAATCGCCCTATCAGTCATGGTAGGAGAAGAGCCTTGGCAGGTGACAAGGATGATGGAGCTCTTGGTCGTGAAGATTGGCTCCCCCTACAACGCCATCATTGGGAGGCCGACACTTTATGCACTCAAGGTGGTCATCTCCTCCTACCGCCTTGCCATGAAGTTCCCAATTGAGCACAATGTCAGAACCATTTGAGGGAACCAACAAGCAACCAAGCAGTGCTATGTAGCAATACAAAAAATGGACTTTGATCCCTATACTTACAGTTTCAAGTGGGATTATTGTTGTGTGTTTAAGGAAGAAAATGGACCATCATTGGTTTTGAAGTGGATAAGGGTCATTTAGAACATGTATATGTAGACCAAAAAGCCCCAATGCCTTTTTCCAACAAAAAAAAGTGCCCTAATTTGAATGACCATTAACTAATTATAACTTTATAGAAACTGTTGTACACAAATGATAAAGAACATACTCGAGGACATCCAGAGCTATAGGTAGAAGGAACGAAGCTAGCTAGACTAGGGCTTAACAAAGATGGTTATCAATGCCCAAATATAGTACTTTTGTTCCATAAAAGTATGTGCAATAACCAGACGGTATTTTATTTTATAACCAATTTAAAATACAAAACTTATTTTCATTACTTCGATTATATTTATTTGAAAAACATTATTGTATGTTTACACTAATTTAGAATTTACTCAGCTTTCTGTTGTACAAATTAGATATCATTTAATTCATTCCATCCTACTCTTCTGATTTCAGATTTTCCACTACATTGTACGGGACCCCACTATTACTCATGTAATAGATCGAAGTGAACCTTAACCTCAAATATACCAAATAACTCTCATTTTTATTAAGAAAATAACTCTGACCTTTTGATAGTCAAGCTCAATTCATTTTTATTGACACATTGGAGACCCAATTTGCTTCTGAGGCCCAAGCCGAGCCTGAGATAGGCCTAAAGTGTTTGGATTTGACTCAAAAACAAAACAAAATAAAACCAGTTGGTTTGATAAATAAATTGGTTTTCAAAATAAAAACAAATAAAAATGTTCTCGGTTATATTCATGTTTTGTGTGCATTTGCAAAGCTGAATAAAAAATCACGTTCTTCAATTGATTGTTTAAGGCTGTGTTTGGTTTGAAGGAAAAAGTAAGGAAAGGAAGACAAAGGTAGGGAAACTTTTATAAATTCTGTATGGGGTTCATTGCCTTTCCCTTTCTTTCCCTACTTTTTTTTTCAAACCAAACATAGCCTAAAAAACATGTTTTCATCTGATTATTTAATATCGCGTTCCATAAATTAAATCATTTGTACACTACAAAATTTTCTTTTATTTAGAAAACCAATATTTTGATTGTTCCAAAAACATGTATTGTTTCTTAAAGAAAACCAATTTGATTTTGTCTCTCAAAATTAAAATGGAGTTGAAGAACATATTTATTTATTTATTTCTGTTGTGGCCATTAACTTCATAGACAATTGAAAATTAACATTCATGTTGTAGATAGACACCCTAAAGTTGGTAGCGAAGAAGGCTGTGTATGCAATAATCAGATTCAGAATTGCATTAAACATAGATCCTAGATTCTCAGTCTTAAGCCTGTATTTTTAGACTGTTAATCCCTATCAGCAATTAGACAACAATTAAACCATCATCTCGAAGGTATATAAGCATGCATCACAAGTCTTCCATAAAATTGCAGCCGTAGACAACATAGTCTCAATAAGATACATTAAGTAACAGCTGGAACATTAAGAAACAAATTAAGGATCCCAATGTAGTAGGTATATTAAATGAGTACAATGAATGAATAAATTATAACTGTGTAAAACATGTCTCATTTATACATTTTTATTTTATTAGACAGAAATTATCCATTAATTTATCAAAATAATTAAAAATAAAAATAGATGCCTATCAATTGGATCCACAACGGTAGCGCACCTTCCGAATTAAACAAAATGGAAACGAAGGATATACAGACGAATGATATGAATACAACTAAAAAGTGATTACCCGCATTCAGATGGAGGACGCTCGGAAGCCATGGTCTGGCGGGTGATAATGCAAAGAAATATTCAATGAAAGCTGTAAAAATTAATATAGGAGACACCGAAACAAGGTAGTGAGCAATGATGACCTTCCAAATAATGACTGACCGGTTGAGGATTGGTATGTCAAACAACAGGACAAATATGGCAGATAAAGAAAAGCATAAGCCCCAATAATCATAAATCATAAACCTGTGGAAAGAAATTGGATTTTCTTTTAGAGGTTACTATTCCCTTTTTTGATCATCAATTTCAGAATTTCCTGACAATTGCAAGGCAGCAGAACAGGCAATAGTGGCGGCAAGTGTTGCCACCATCAAAAGGGTATCAATCTGTCGCTCGTAACTCTTTATTACTAAATAGCATCTAAGGTCAATTTTTGGGGTTTAATATTTATAAAGGCAATACGTTTATAAAGGATAAAAGCACTGTTTATATTCTTTTTCTATTCATTTGTTTATCGTCCGCCGCCGCCGCCGTCGCACTAAATAGCATGAACAGTGTTTTTGCCCTTTATTAATATTATTTTAATAAAGTTGACCTATTTTTTGAACTTTTTTAAATATATTGCTTTTATTAATATTAAACTCTAAAAGTTGCCCTTATATGCTAGAATCCCTTCTTTAAATTCCATTGTAGCATTTGGTTTGACATCAACTACGTTGTTTTGTGTTAATATTCTTGATTCGCTTAATGAAACGTTCTGCATAACAGAATATTTTCGTTTTAATTAGTCTAATTATCATTATTAACTAGAAAACGATCCTGTACT